ATTGCTTCAGATTGACTCATGGTCATATCTGTGAAGTACTTTCTTCATTGCTAAGGAGGGTCTATCCCTCCATCTGTAATTTTCTGTAGTAATAGATTTTTCATCAAATATTAGTGTACATTATTAGGCTATGTTAATTGAAAATGTAAAACCTATAGTAGTAATAGTGTGCCTAGATTTCAACTAGTAAACTAAATCTTATAGGAAATTGGAATCTCATCAATATGTCAATTAAGTTGCAAAGCTGTTCCCTGTGATGCCATAGAAGGTAGAAAATTATCCAGTGAATTTTTCCAATTTAAATGTCTTTTCTTTCTGTTTTGTTGTTTTTTTTTTTTTGAGACAGGGTTTCTCTGTGTAGATTTGTAGACCAGGCTTGGCCTCAAACTCACAGAGAGATCCATCTGTCTCTGCCTCCTGAGTGCTGGGACTAAAGGCATGCGCAACCACCATGCAGCTAAATGTGTTTATTTCAAAAAACACAGAATTATTTCCAAAAAGCAATTGCATAATATAGTGAGCTATCTTGCCTTTTGGCAAATGCTCATTTCTTTTTGTTATTAATGTAGAAAAATGCTGTGGCCTGCCAAATCTTGGTAGGTTCATCATGTGACATGTTTTGTCAAAACAGTTGTCAGTAGATGTTGCATGGATGGAAGAAGTATTAATAACACAAAACAAAAGTACAAAATGACAAAGAAGACAGGGTACAACATAATTTGAGATTCACACTCAAGGAGTCTTGCTTTGACTTGTTGAATTCTAGTCATTTTGTGGATGCATAATAAAATGATACACTCTTTTTATTATATGTGACTGAATGTCATGCCAGTTTTATAAACTAATAACTGTGAAATACTACATAGTATTCATAGTGAGACATGCCAGACACAGACCTCTGCCTTCTATCTAGGTCATTATCACCATCATTCTTCTAGTCACTATATGGCAATGCCTCTCTAATTTTTACCTTTCCTTAGTCCAGGTGTCAGCACTGCAGATTCACATAGAACCACCTACCTAATAACTTCACTTAAATTTTTGAAAAGTCAGTTAAAATTTACTATCTCAAAAGCAAACTCCATGCAAAGTTGTCCAACAAGAGAAAATCTGCTTTATCTGGGAAAGCCAATATAATTAGCCAGGGCTCCATCAAAAAACAATAACAATGGGTGTGTAGTGTAAGTAATCATTTTCTTCATTATAGGAATTTAGCTTATCAAAAACTCATATTTGTGAGATCCTCTGCTTCCCATTATGCAATTAATCAACTGCTTTAGATTTTGAAGTTTGGCTCCCAGGAATTGGATGAGATGCAATCATCAACTGTATCAAAGCCATAAGCCTGATTCCTGTTAACTCCCATGTGATGTCACACTGCTTGCATTCTGATGCACTTTTTTTTCTTGTAAAAACAATTGTCATGTTTAGATACATTTGCTTTATTTGTATATACCTTTGTGCCACATGGGAATTCTTTTCTATTTTTTAAAACATTTACACTGAGGAAATGGAATATTTCTTTCTAGAAATTGACTCACAGGATTATGGGGGCTGGAAAGTCCAGCTAGTGTGGGCTAGCTGAATATCAAGGTAGAATTCCAAAGCTATCTAATGATGCTTCCCTCCTGCTCAGGAAGATGGTTTGGAGATATTACTGTCCTCATCTGAGAAAATGTGATCCCTTGCTAGAATGAAGCCCAAGCATACTGGAGAGAGGAAATTCTTTATTGAAATTCCCTTAATTAATCTCATCTCTCTCTTCATCTCTCTCTCTCTCTTTCTCTCTCTCTCTCTCTCTCTCTCTCTCTCACACACACACACACACACACACACACACAAACACATCTTTGTAAAAAAATACAGACATCTGTTTTCCAAAATGTCTATGCATTCTGCCCTATGCTGATATACTAAGAAAAAATAACCATTTCAAGTCAGACATGATATCACTCTCCTGTTGTCCCAGCTCTCATAAACTGAAATAGGAAAGTCACCTGAGCAGAAAAGTTCAGGCCATGCTGAGCAGCATAGTGAGAACAATTCTCAGAAAGAATGAAGGAGAGAAAGATGAGGAAAAGGAGGAGGAGAAGAAAAAATTGGAGGAAAGAAAGGAAGAGAAGGAGGAGGAGAAAGAAGCAAAAAGATAAATGCCTACTCATACGGAATTTCAACAGCTACCTGTGAGCCAAAAATAGCATTCATTTAGTGTTGAATTGTTTTCCAAGTACAGCTAACATAATGCTGTGAATTCAGTTATTAGACACATTTTATACATCTGACTATATGCAGATTATAGCTAGATCTAATTTTTCGTCAAGTGAAGACATTGTAGTGTAGAATTTTGAACGTGCATTGTGAATTTAAGAAAAAGACTGAAAGTAAAATGGAAGATCAACGTTAGCTAGGGAAGGATGTACCTGACTCCAGACCTTCATCTCTCATTCCTCTCCTCCAAATCCAATCCCCCAGGCTCATCCCTTGCTCTGCAACTGACCTCAACTGAGGCCTCCTTTCTCCCTATTCCCCATCTCCAGTGGATTCCACAGATCTTTCTTTCCCTCTTAACCTCCACTTGCCCACTATGTGCTTTGTCCTAGGCTCCAACTCAGACAGACACTCCCTGGGAATACATAGGCTACTTTTTCCAAGGAAAATGGTAGGCCAAGACCACATCTTCACTTCTTACTCAGTCCGTTCAAATCCAATCCATCAGTTTCCTCCCCAGCTCTTTAACAAATGTGATGTAGTATCCTCTTACTCTTTGTTCCCATATTCAGGGAACTAACTAAATATATCCCCAATGTTACCCAATTCCTATGTCTCAGGTCCTAACACTCAGAAAAGTATTTTTCCTGGAAGCCCCT